TAATTGTAAATTTTTCCATAGAAATTACTCATTGAGTGAATAATTCATCTTTTCGGAATCTCAACTAACCACTATCGGGGTGAATCACAAATTGCTAGATTCAATTAATTCGTTTCTAAATAATTGAGAAATATCAAACATGATTAACAGTTGACACACTAATCGGTGAATTATTTATTTTGATTAAAAATTGAATAATTAATTGATAATTATTGAAGAGTCATTATCCATTTATCAAAAAATGGTTGAGGATTGAAACCAATTGTCGATTGGCAAAATAATTGGTAATTTTCGGTATAGATCATTCATCGCTTAATTAATCGAAAAATCATCCCCTCGAATTATGGATTATCCAAATAATCAAATAATATTAATTATGATTTACAATTATGCCGACTCCTGTTGAGTACTCATGGCTATGTGCCAATGACTCCATGTAATGAATCCACGCCATGTCACGATTTGTCCTCTCAACTCTCCAAATTCTCCAAAGATGGCCTCCAGACTTCCGTGAACATGGGAACCATCTGTCGAACCTCCTTGACTCCGAAGATCCTTAGACTTCCGTAAATATTTCACTGATGAATTATCTTTACAAAATGACTTCCTTAAATCTCTCTTCAACTTAATCCCGCGTATGACTTGGGACTACCGTATAACGAGGGTGTTTTTCCCTCTCGATTTCGGGTTCGACTCCTCTCCTCATCACGCTTGTGTGGGCTCGACTTCCTTCGCCTGGCCAGTTGTAGAATGTGCGGGGAGCGGGTATTGTCTTGCAGGGACTTCTGTCATCTGCGGTTGTGGGATAGGCGAAAGCTTTTCTTCTCTTCGCATGGTGATATCTTGGGGGTGTTGGCTCTTCTCCGGGGAGCAGCGATGCCGGTGATATCGTATCTTGTCGTCGGTGTAGCTCGACTTCTGCTTCTTGACTGTGATTGAAGGGAACGGCGAGGGATAGGGTGGAAATGGGCTACCAACGGTGGCAGGAAATGATTATTAAGGGTGCTATTATCTTGAGGTATTTTTCACCTCACTACAAGTTGTATGGAAAAATGGTCCATCCATCAGCTATACAGCCGAAAAAATTTTTTTTATAGGAATCCCATCCTGATTTCTATAGAATCTATCCATAATTTTTCGCGATTTTTGAATATAACTGGAACCAGGTCGTAAAAACTGTAGACTGAATCACGAAAATTTAGACACTCAATTCTTAACATTGTGATTTTTTTTCTGTGATGATTCAGTTTATATTGATATCGATTGATTGTAGTGATTACTGAAAATTGGTGACAAAATCATAACATTTTAAGATTTCTACATCATTCAGTTTTACAATGGCACAGCTACCTTGCAATATCGGATGGGTCCATCGAAAGTGCAACTTTTTTTTCTGTGTAATCCGAATAATTGAAAATATTCCTGTTCATAGGATCAGTTGCAATGATATTCCATGATATTTCGTTCCATTGATATGTTCCATGATGTTAAGTTGTGACCATACGGGTCGTCAACTTGGAAAATTATTTTTATTTAGGAAAAACAATTAAAAAATTTCTATTGTAAATAAGACCTTCTTCTAAGGCAATATTCTGTAGTAATACCACGAGACTTCCAAAATTATTGTATATTTCCCGATTGTTTTGTTGCGTAGCAACGAGAGGGAGAAGTTTTGCAGATTAAAATCCGGGGCGCGCAGCGCGAGGGATTTTTGTGCAAAACTTATCCCGATCGTTGATACGCAGGAAAACATGAGGGAAATGACCGATTAATTTTGGAGGTCGAGTGCTACACGCCGGATTATTTTTGGTAATCGGATTCTTCCCAAACCGACTCATTTTTACTTTCTTGCACTCCACAGGATAATATTTGACAGTTATTCGGTTAGAGGAAACAATTGAAGAGCTAGAGGGAAATTATCGAAAGCTACAGGGAAATTATCAGAAGCTGGGGGGGAAATAACCGCTGTAATTTTAATTGGGAAGTACTTCATGTTACTGAATACTGAACTCTGATTGGTCCAGGGAAGGCCACATCCGATTACCAAAAATAATCAAGTTAAAATGGCTCTAGGAGGCTTCTCCCACTCATGAGAATCGGAAGGGGAAAAACTCTAAATTATTTTCCAAACTAATTCCTTCTCATCATCCCCGAAGGTAAAATTCCTAAGTCAACGTGCTGGGTCGAGAAGAGCATGTCCCGAGGAAAATCTCTTGGGACCAAATAATGTCCAGACCAGCCCGTTCAGGCTATTCAGGAGGAAGATTGGGCGATGGCGTCCCTCTACGAAGCCCGCGTAATTTAAATGGGAGCAAAAGGTGTCTTCAGGCAAGGGTCCATTGCCATCAACATCAGAGTAACACTACTCGAGGATACCCTGACGCTAAGAATGACCGGAGAGGGGATCTCCTCCCCCCCTGTTCTGACCAACCATACCTCCAGAGAGTCAGCGAGGGATACCGAGCAACATTAATAATTTTCAACTTAGAAGTATCTGATAAAATAACTTACAAAATAGGTTCAACACTTTCCAAGCATCAATTTAAAAATTGTCAGAAGATAAAATCGATCAATAATCATGATATAGAATAGTCTAGAATCTACAATAGGTATGCTAAAACGTTAATATCCAATCAAATTCCTTGTTTCAAGACTGAGGGGGAACTTCCCCCCGAGAAACACCCCAAGCAGGTAACTCAAGCCATTGAACTCACGTTTGGGAAGAGTCGTCTCCTAGCTAGCGTTTGATGTAGTCGCGTCAGTTGATCCACTACATAATTTTGTTCTTTGTCTTTCAAATTTTTTGATATTATTGACTTGATTGCTGTCCAATCTATGGGAGAGTGGTTTGCTCCAATTAAAACAGGTGAGCAGAACCCAATTGTTATTAAAATTGAAGAAAACAGAGGATATAAGCTCTTTGTCGTAACTTGTCTAAGATGGCGTCCAGCTTGGCGTCTCGTTCTTGAGTGGAGAAAATTCAAGTCAACTCCTCTTATTGATTGTCGATTCGAGGAATTGAAGTTGGAATATTGGAGTTTAGCAGTTTGTCTTACCTTTTCTTTTCATTATGAGATTGTAATTGGTGAAAGTCGAGAATTGTCAAGAGATGAGCAATCCTAATTTGGATTAAGCCGAGTTCTGTCGAATCTTTCATGTTATTTTTGTTGATACGAGGGCCTCAGAGCCCTCACCTGATACTATTTGTAGACATTTTGTATTTTCTTTCTTTGTTGTTCCTAATTATATTGTTAATTTCCACATTAGAATTCGTGTTTTATTTGTTGGGTGTTTGAGGAAAATCTCTGAGTAGGGATATCGTCCCCCTTCCCCCTTGTAACAAGTAGAGTCTATCTGAAAGCCTGAGTTGCTGCGTGTTTGAGAGTATTTCGGTCATAAAAATTATCAAAGCGAGCGGAGTCGATGCCCTCTCGTAGAATAAATTCATCGACTGGCGTCCAACATAAGGAGAAATTCACTAAGAGTAATTTTTACTTTGACCTTAATATTAGGTCATCCCACTTCTGGTGTCACACATTTATTTTCTATATCTTAACAAGCGATAACCGACATACAATGATACGTTCATAGTATTATTCATTAATCGCCTCTACTACTGACGATGCACTCCCAGACTGCTGGCAATTCTCAAACACAATGTAGAGTCCCATTTTCATTCAAAATGGAAATAATCATATGCAACTCAATATCTAACTGCTCTTTGCTGTTGTAACGAGTAGCTGAGAATTCCTTCTTCACGTGACCAAAACAATTGAAATCACATGGATTCATATCGAGAGAATATAGGAGGTGGAAAAGTGCTACCCAAACTTTATTGTCAATTAACTGCCGAAAGATGAGTGTTATGTACTTATTATGTGATACTTGTTATGTGATGTTCTTGTGTCCATTTGGGCATATTGCCCTCCAAAATCGTTTTATAACGTTCAGATGTCATAGTTATATTTGCTGTATAAGTCGTCCAAAAAGCGATCCCTCTTGTATCCATTGCTACTATCAGCTGTATCTTTTATTCGTGAAGTTCTGCACGTTGTAATCTTGGAGCTGACGTACCTGGTTCCAACCGAGATCGTGATTGATGTTTTTGAAGAGTGGTATAACATTCGACCTAATTCTCATCTACACACAGGAGCCTAGAAAGTATATTTTTCTTACGATGATACCTTGCCAAGTTGCTACGTGTAGCTTCATATTGAAATTCTTTTTGATCGTCAGTTAAACTGTGAAGTATCCATTTTGCTAATTTATTGACCAGACCTAAATCTTCGGTTAGTACCCTATGCACAGTTGAAGAAGGAATACCAAGTTGGTTAGAAAGATCATTGACACTCACCGTAGGTGACTGACGGAGAGCTTCTGCGATTCTATCTCTCCCTTCTAATCTATTTGATGACATTGGTCGAGGATCCCGTACCTCATATTCAGCGGACGTTCGACCTCGTTTATAGGCATTGAGTTAGCGTTGAATTATTCATTTATTTAATGCATTGTGGCTAACACATTTCACTAATAACCAGTGTGCAACTCCTCCAGAGTAATCTAATAGGGCACAAAATTTCAGGAATATTCGTTGTTCCACTACACTCAAAGATTTTCTCAAATACTCCATCGTAAATACTGCAACATAATTAAAACGAAAAGTATACGACACTGCTATACTGAATGAGCAATACTATCATGTTACAATTTTTTTCGTCAGATGGCGCAATACCATGCCAGCTGGAAAGAAAAAGGTAACACCAGAAGAAGGATGACCTAATATATTCACAAACGTCACAAAGTAAAGCGTTGATACGTGAAAAATCATGATCACCTAAAAATACAGAAGAAAACAATATACGATGTATCTTCGATTTTTAAAAGAAATCATCGGACGCGTATGGAAACGATGTTTACGACTACATCTTTAGTTATTTTTTATAGGTGCCAAATGATCTATGAACGCCGAAAAATGTGGCTCCAAAATATTCTCTGTTAAAATGACGACGCTACAAAATCAGTGCGAAAAACACCAATTCCGCACTCAAATTACGACGAAACATATTGATGAGGCTGTTTGGAACAGTGTGTATGAAACAGTTTAGTGTGAGATTGGACAAAATATTATGCTAAATATGTTATTGAGCAAAAAAGCAATCAATATTGGAAATTCTAAGTAATAGGGGGTTACCAATATCCTGCACAAAACTAAAAACTCACTCGAAAATAATTCGTTTAGTAGGTCAACATACTTCGATATGTTCAATTCTTTATAGTTGTAAATATTTGTAGGGCATTAGGACAATTTCGGCAACGATACTCCTTTCGTTTTTATCGTAAATCATATTTCTCGTTTATTATTTATCTTAATACTTTTCAAATATTCCATTGTTCCAGTTGTCATCAATGATGAAATGAATGACGTTGCGAATCGGAGCGTGAATAATGCCCTGAAGAATATAAGGGACAGCCACACGGACTGGCTGCGTGAAGTAATTATCATTCAAATAAATGGATCTGACCCTCATGACACTTTGGACAAAATCTGCACCGCATGGGACAGAGCAGTGCGTGACGGTGGACATGGAGTCCCAGATCTCGTTGTAGATGTAACGAGAAGTGGCTTTGGGGCTGAAACAGTGAATTCATTCACAGCAGCAATGGGTGTGCCAACGCTTTCCACGCAATTCGGACAAGAGGGTGATTTAAGACACTGGAGAGATTTGAAGGAAGATCAAAAAGGCTATTTGATACAAGTGCTACCACCAGCCGACTTAATACCAGAAGCTATACGTCAGCTTGCAATAACCATGAACATCAGTAATGCTGCAATAATGTTTGATGAGAACTTTGTAATGGATCATAAATATAAGAGTCTTTTGCTCAACGTACCAACAAGACATGTTATTGTGAGGACAAAAGAGGTTGGGGCTATTGACGCGCAGTTATCACAGCTGAGAGATCTTGACATCGTTAATTTCTTTGTATTGGCGAAAGAGGAAGTCTTGACTGCGATTCTCGATGCTGCTGAGGCAAAAAACTTCACAGGGAGGAAGTATGGGTGGTTCGCATTGAGCCTTGATGAATTTATACCCAAGTGCGAGTGCAAGAACCTCTCGATTCTTTTTTTCCAGCCCCAATCCACCAGCTTCAGTCAAGAGCAATTAGGGGGCTTGACCAGCAAAGGACTCCTCCAACCGCCATTGATCACTGCTGCTTTTTATTATGATGTAACTAGGCTTGCCGTTCAGGCTATGAGAGAGGCTACTAAAAATAATCTGTGGCCAATAGACCCTCAACATATTACATGTGATGAGTTCAGTGGTAACAATACTCCAAAAAGAAACTTTAATTTTTTGGAAAAATTAAGGAACGTCAATCGGGAGGTGCAGTTCGAACAAACTTATGCCGGATTCCATTGGGGAAGTAAGAATGGCGAACATCGAGCGAATTTTACCATGAAAATGAGTCTTGCGGTTATTGATGATGGTAATGCGATCTCTACAAACGTCCTCGGGGAGTGGCCAGCGGGGATTGACTCTCCATTGAAGGTAAGTTTAAGAACGGTGAAGAAGTAATTGATAAGTAAATCGCAGATTAAGGAATAAATATTCATTGCCTAGAATGAACATGGTATTAAAAATTAAATCTGGTCAGGGCTCTAACCCAGTCCCAACTCATCGACTGTCGATCACATACTTCGAGAGGTCATGGGGTCGATTGTGCCGTCGTATCGGTTGGTTGTCAATACGAAGAGACTACAAATCTTGATATTTATGGTCACTCTCATAATATTGTTTCATTATTAATTTTCATTAATCACGGTTTTTTCAAGTCTTGGTTGTAACACTGATGGTACAGTGTCTTTAGTAAATTCTTGCAAGTCAAATGAGAGCAGTGAAGGATAAATTTTATGATCAGTCAATGAATCAGCCCCGGATGGTCTTACGAGGTTGCAAAGGGTGTCCCATTGACTGGCGATTTTGTAATCATCGAGTATGCAGTCAGTCAGTGTTTTTGCTAGAGAGTCACAAGTCGGTGGTTCACACATTTCCATAAATCTAGATGAAATACCTGATAGAGGTTCAGTGTAAATATAAATATCTTGTACGTTGAAACTCGTCAGGATGATCCATTCGCCGGTAATTGGTCTGACAGCGTCAATGCTCTCCCGATAAAATCCTGATGGCTCGAATGTGAGTTTTTCATCGTACAGCTACTTACGACTTACCAACGCGAAACTTAGCTCAGGCACCAGCCGATTTTTAATCTTTTCAATTGGCCCATTAGGCATTCCAATTTCATCGAACAATAATAATTATTACCAATCAAATGAACATTCAACCCGGACTCTTTATCAACAGGCGGGAAAAGATCGATACCTCCTCTCGGATTCTCGAAAGCTCAAGAAACAAATCCAACACTCTCGATTTTATGCCCCAAAGAAAATCGAGATACGCGGTAGCGTATTGGCCAAGTCGCGCCTCATAACCTGACAACTAAACGACGAGAGCTACCGAGAGGTACCGAGAGCTACCTATCTATACATGAGAAAACTTCACCTTCCACTACCCTCAACTGATTTTCCATCAATTAATAAGAAATGCGCCCACTTAGACGAAACCTGTCCTTAGTTACACCATATAAATCACTAATCCGCTTTCCACTGATGCAATTATTAATTTAATTCTTTCAATATTTACGAAGATATGCACATAGCACGAACTGGCATTAACATTTTTCGCGTTCCCATTATCCTCTCAACGAGAACGGTCACACTCAAGCCATTGAGTTGGCAGCGCAACTCGAATTCTCAGTTTCGCATGCAGGAATTGCCAACAGTGTCTTACGTTATATAGTGTCATGGAGAATAGAGGGAATAAGGGCAAACAGCGGCTGGTGGGACCCCTAAAATCATGTCACGCAGGATGTAGTTCAGATTGGTTCCGATGGTGGCTGTAGTAGTCATTCGCATGGTAAAACAGATCATTGGAATTGTAACGTTCATCGTACTGAAAATTTCATTCCCTGGCCGTGCAATAATTTGACAATATTATATTTATTCCTTAACAAATATATATAAAACCCTTGTAGAACATGAAAAAAATTACAGATATTTTCTGGATGGGAATCCATGAGTGACGATGCTTTGAACAATAATTTATGAGAGAACTATGTAAATAAGCAATAGAAATCCAATTGAGGTAAAAATAGCACTGTGAATGACGAAGAACAAAATCCGGTAATTCGTTCAAGAGATATGGAGCATAGGAGGTTTGTTTGAATACAAAAAAAAATGAAAATTCAGTAGCGAAGCGGTAAGCCCGGTCAAGTGGATTCTAATGTCCAAAATTTTATACTAGAAATTTTAATGCTAGAATAATTTTATGTCGAATAACTAAGAAACAAATCGACTAATGTAAACTAAATAGAGTGCATTTCATCACGTGAACTCGATTAAAAATTCTAAAGACATTGGAATCGAGTTCAAAAGTGATGAAATGGCCCACTCAGTATGCCCCAATTACCCAATACTAAGATTTACGCGCGAAGGAACGATTAAAAACCGATGAATTGAAACCTCAAAAACCGAACGAACTAGTTCCCCATAAAAATCAAAAGAGTGGGAAAAGTCATACGACATTTTCCACCAATTAAAAATGGACTCGTTGGAGCCCATGTGACAAGTGACCACAAAAATTCATATAAACATGTCAGAAAAATCAAAATTAAAAAGTCTTGAAGCAGCGACGGAGCAGTAACAATTCTGGTGGAAATAGTTCATTTAATCGGTTCGGTTTTTCAATCCTTCCTCCGATTACGCGGAGCAGTACTGAATTAATAGTAAGTTATGAACAATTGAAATTATCCGGGAATAAAATTTCTTTAATGGAGAGTGGTGACTTTTCTTACAAATAAGGAATTCGTTCATTGTGACGCATTGTGGACAGTCTCAAACAAACTCTTGAACTCTTAAAATTCAACTGTCAAAATTTATTAAAATATCAACGAGTAAAAGAAAGTGTTTCCGTGAAAGTATCCATAATAAAAAACTACGAGAAATTCCATGGGTCAATCGTTATTTCTCCAAGAGAAAGAATGGCCATCGAAATCCCTATCAAGAATACCGATATGTCGGTCGGGTATTTACCGAAGATCTCTACAAAACCAGGTGTCTATCTAGGCGAGAGTGTGGTCAGCATAAGAGCGGGGAAAGCCTGTCTCTTCGCTATCAACACCACTGAAGAACCAGTTCACCCCCATATACCACCCCAGACGGTAGAGGAAATCGATGAACTCCTAGAAAGAACCGCAATATTAGGAGAACCTCAAGAAACCTTCGCCTGGTGCAATATGGGAATTGCTCCAGAGGAAAATATAGGTCTGTCACCTCGTACATCGCACGTACTAGAGGCTCTACCCGATCAGGAGCTTAAAGCCTTCGAACGCAAAGAGGTGATTGAACTAGTAAAAGAGTTCAATGACATATTCCACCTTCCGGGAGACAAGCTTGGCAAAGCTAAGAATTTCCAGTGCAAGATCAGAATCATCGATGATAAACCTGTCCATAAGCGACCATACAAGTACCCTCCTCAACATCAGGAGATAAATCGACAAATAGACAACCCGCTGGAACAGGAAATCATCAGGCACTCAGAATCACCATACAACTCACCCCTCTGGATTTTACCAAAGAAAGCCGACTCCAAGGGAAAGAAGCGATGCAGAATGGTGATCGATTTCCGATATTTAAATCAGAAAACGATTGGAGATTCCTATCCGTTACCCAACATATCGGAAATTCTCTCACAACTAGGCAGAGCTAAGTACTTCAGTGTGTTCGACCTAGCCAGTGGATTCAACCAAATCGCAATGGATGAAACAGACGCTTAGAAAACTGTATTTACCGGTCCCAGTGGGTAGTATCCACTACATCCAGTACATGAGGATGCCTTTTGGATTGCAAAATTCACCCCTAATCTTCCAGCGGATGATGGATTAGATCCTAACCGGCCTGAAAAGGACAGAACTCTACGTCTACCGAGATGACGTAGTTGTTTACTCCAAAACACTGGGTGAACACGTCATCCGTCTCAGGAAATTCTCCAACCGCCTGTGGAAAAACAGACTTACTCTCCAGCCTGATAAATGCAAATTTTTCATGAAGTAGGTAGCCTATCTGGGACATATAATCGACGACCAAGGAATTCATCCTGATCCAGCAAATATGAAGGCATTAACGGAGATGCCCCTTCCTACAAATCAACAGGGAATAAGGAGATTCTTACGCTTCAGTTACTATTATCGACGATTCGTGAAGGACTACGCAGAAATTGCACAGCCTCTAAATGATTTCCTCAAGAAAAACGTGAGATTTAAATGGAACAAAAAACAAGAACAATCATTCAAAGCCATCAAGGAAGCCATCACCGAGGACTCTCTGCTGTTTCATCCTGACATGATCGAACCATTTATCGTTCATGTTTCCAGCACCCAAAAGGGCATTGGAGCCATCCTCAGCCAAAAAGATGCTGACGGAGACGAACACCCGATCCTGTATGCATCGAGAGCACTTCGAGATGCTGAAACAACATATACTTCAGTCGAATTGGACTGCCTAGCAGCTGTCTACGCCTTAAAGTAGTTCAAACCCTACATCTATGGAGTACCCTCCACCATTATTACCAACAGCCGAGCCCTGACCTGGCTCAGAGATTCCAGCAACCCTACTATGAGGCAAGTTAAGTGGAAAATCTACTTGAATGATTTCACGTTTGAGGTGGAAATAAAAAAACAAGAGAAATCAGCTGGCAGATGCCTTTGCAGAAAATCCTCTTTAAGACGAACATGAGGAAATCGTCATGTTCGCAACCTGTATGCCTGCTCTACCAGTACCAAAGTCCAGTGTGAAGATACCAGGGTCAGTCACCAATCCTAATCGAAAGGTTAGAATAAATAGTGACCCAAAAATTATTACCATCCCAACGACGAGAAGCTCAATTGCCGACAGGCTTCGGGCTAGAAGAACAATAGAAGCAAACAGTGGCACCCGGCAACCGATCTCCTACCGATTGAATCGGGATTATAAAACGACACCCAAAATCAGCAAAACCCCCACATCATCTACTCGGGGCACCATAATTGAGAACCAACCAAAAACAGTGGAAGAAACAATCCCCACTCCATCTACCCCTTCGATCGTGGAGATGGCAGAACCAACTCCAACATCTTCAGGATCCAAAGAACCATTACTACAGGATGAACCAACAGTAATACCTGATGAAATGGAAGACGAAGGAAAAGAAAATCAACTAGAAATTTCCCTTGAAAGAATGCCAACGGACGAAGAGTTGGAGGATGACGCATTCATCACAGATCAAAACTCGACTGATGAGGAAACGCCTTCTATAATTGAAGCTAAAACTCGAATAGAAGAAAAGGACGAAGAATCAAACCCCACACCACGTCCACCAGTGGACATGGAGCGAATAGAACGAAACTTAGAAAAATTCTACGAGTATATGGAGAAAATCTCGGAAAGGGATGAGGAAATATTCCAAGAACCCCTAGAGCCACT